CACATTTTTGTCTAGATAATACATTTATACGGTTCAAAACTCGAGGCAGGGAAGATGGGTTTGAAAAGTCCCCCATCCTTACCCACACCGACTTCTCCGCATAGACAGCCAGTGTTGACATTTTGTGTATCTATCAATATTTTCTGTACGTATACAAAAATGTCCGAATATATCGTCCTGTGTTTTTACATTAATGTAGCACGCTGTGCATACGTCAGTATTTTGCTTTTTACAATATTAGTATATTTTAGAGATAACTTATCATTATCAAGAATCAGTGTTATTGCTCCTCTCTGCGTCTGTATCTTGCACCTTGTGCGTATTGATTATTTATTATTGATGGACATTTAGATTTTTTTCCAGCTTATTGCCATTTTAAAGTAGTGAGTAACCGTGTTCATGTTAACTTTTACCATGTGGACAAGCACATGTTTGGCATATTTTAAAAGAATTATTTAATTCCATTTGTTATTTTTAAACTTGATCAGAGACAGAGAGAGAGAAAGTGAGAAAGCAAGCCGCCAGGTCTAAGACTCGAACCACAGTCAACCATATGGGAATCTAGCACCTTTAATCACCATGCCTCTTGCCGGCCCCAGGACAACACGAGCTGTAGCGCAGATTCTGGAAGTGAATTTGTAGTTTTGATAGACAGTATAAAATAACTTTCTGCCGGAGTCTATACCATGAAATATTCATACCATTTTGGACATGATTTCATCCAGTTGGTTCCATTTGCTGTTTTCTCCTTTTGTTTCTTTTAAGTTTGTTATAGGACTTGTGCGTGCACTGGAGAGAGACAGAGAAGGCAAGGGTGAGGGTAAGAATGAGAGAGAGAAAGTGAGTAATCACCCTCCTGGGGGAATGGTTATTCTCTAGGCCTTTCTCCTCCATTCTCCTGAGATTTTTGGCATGCACACACATGTGCCTGATGTGTTTTCAAGCTGCCAGGTCTGGGACTTGAACTGTGCAGTTGGGTTTGTGGGATCCAGCTGCCTTAACCTCCTTACCACCTGCTGGTCTATGCTTGTGTTTCTTTTAAGCTTCTTAAAAAATATGGTTTTAGTCTCTTCTCTGACTCTTCCTTTACTTCAACTTCTCTTAGCACTCTTTGTTTATGCCCTCCTCCCAAAGAAAGAACGTTTGCTGTCTATTTTCATCTTACTGCCTTGCTCTCAAAAGTATTTAGGATACTAAAAACCTCAGAGGGGGACCAGCAGTTAGTGTAATGGCTGTTGCTGAACTCCCATGTAGTCGACCACGGTTCGAGTCCCAGACCCGGCGGCTTAAACTCACGCCAGGCGCATGTGCGTGAGTGCCCAAGATCCTGAGAGAAGGGACGAGAAAGGATTGTGGCCTGACCATCCCCTCTGAGAGATGATTTCTCCCTTAGTGTCTCTTTGTCTCTCTATCTGTCTGGCGAGCGCCTGCTCCCTATAGCAAAAACCTCTAAAAAAAAAAAAAAAAAAAAACCCTCAGAGTTACTCAGTACCTATTGGAAAACAGTCACAAAAGTTTACATTTGATCTGTGTGCAAACACTGAACTGTGTACTTCTCTGAGCACATTATCATTCCGTAAAAAATATTACTAGTTTGCCTTCTCAATACATTCTTATTTTCTTTATTGCCTAAAAGTAACTGAAAGGACAGGCTGGGGAGTCATATAGAACTTGGTTTGAATCTTGGTTTTGCTTCTTAGTGGCTGTGCTATAATGGATAAGTCACTTAAATTTTGTGAAACTCAAGTTTTTTCTATTTGTAATATGGAAATAGTTATATTTACTTTATACGTTTATGTAGGATTAAATAATATAATGTAGGGGCCAGCAGACAGTTTAGTGGTTATGTCACTGGACTCCCACATGGCCAACCCTAGTTCAAGTCCTGGACATGGTGGCTTGACAGTCATGCCAGCTGCCTGTATGTGTGTGCCCAAGATCCCAGGAAAAGAATGGAGAAGGGATTGAGGTGTGGCCATCCTCCCAGGGGATAATTTCTCACTTTCCTCCTGTCTCTCTTTCTGGCGCACAGTGAACATCTTGGTAAATGGCTGCTGTTATTACTGTTGTACTTATGGTATTCATTTCTTTACTACTTTAAGTTTACTTATGTATATATTGTAAGAGAGAGAGAAACTTACAGACAGGGACCCTAATGGGGTCTTGCTATCCCAAAGCCCTGACTCCCTGTCTTCTACTTCTAGCTAGCCAGGATCCTGGACACACCCACAGATTCCCACACATTCAGAATATTCAGGTGAACCTTGGAACTGAACTCAACAGTTTTCCTGTATGGCTCCAGTGTCATGCAGCAGCTGCCTACTGTCTGCGCCGCCTCTGCTGGGCCAATTTCTTTTTTCTTTTTTAAATGATAGCATGTGAAACCATGAGAGAAAGAGCATCGAACCCCTCTCCCCAGTCATCCAGCTTCTTAGAATCTTAGGCACCTGTTCATGTGGGCATCTGTGATGTGCTTTCAGACTGACTCAGGCTGTAGACCTGGAGGTCCAGACTCATATTCAGCTACGTGGCTTCCAGCACTGCAGTCCTGTGTGCTACAGACTGTGCTCCTGGCTGGGCCACTTAATTCATTTTCAAACTTCTTGCAGTTTGGTTTCTGTCACTGTAAATCTGTTGAAACTGATGTATGGTTCTTAATTTCCAGTCACTTTGAATTGAACTGAACAGTTAATCAACTCTAATTGCTTCTTAAATCTCATATATTATCTCTTCTTTTAGCTCTGGATGAGGGAGATATTGCCCTGCTGAAAACTTATGTAAGTTTTTTCAGTGTCTACAAAATATAGATATTTTATGTTGAAAAAAACTGTCTTGAAATTATTTTTGTAAAATAGAAGAGAATGTCTAACAATGCATAGTAATCTTTACTGAAAAAGTTACCTGCCTACATTTTCTCTCCAGAAGAGATTGATATTTAGCATCTCTAAGCTTACCCATATTTTATACTGTTTGTAATTAAAGTGTAGTACTATATTGAAAGATATTTGAAATAATTTACACAGATGTTTATTACATTTAAAATGTATGTAACTGAATTAGATCTCAGTGGAAAGTTTTATTAATGTATAGGACTGGGTCTGTTTTGGGTAATATCAGGCAGATTTTAAGTTGTTACCATGCGTAATGGTGGGTGGTTTGTTGGGGGAAATACAGTTTAAGAATATTTCTGAAAAGGATATATTCCTTCTCACAAGCTTTGAGACAATTATAGCTATTGAGAGTGTCACTTTAAAATTTTTATCCATAGTTTTATTAATTATTGATGTCCTGATGTTCTAATTAAATGGATGTCCACTGCCTAGGGTCAGAGCACTTACTCCAGGCAGATCAAGCAGGTTGAAGATGACATTCAGCAGCTGCTCAAGAAAATTAATGAGCTCACTGGTATGTATTTTTTATTTCCATCTGTTCTGTTACAATGTCATGCATTAATTATATTAAAAAGTTTAGTGCTGGCCCCCTAGCCTAGCTGCTGACCAGAGTTTGATTCCCAGCCTTGGCAGCTTGAAAAACATGCCAGGCGTGTGTGCATGTTAGCCCCAAATCCTGATGGGCTGGAGATATGAAGAAGGGATTGGAGTGAGACTCTGTCCCATTAGGGGAGCCCTTTACCTACCCCTCCCCCCAAACTCTCTCTACTCTCTGGCAAGTGCACTTGTCCTCCATCTCTGGCAGTTAAAAAGGAGTTTAAATACATGTTATTCTTTCATAAATTACAGATATTAAAAAAATGATTATCCTTCTAATCTTAAGAAATCATATGTTATTTAACTATCTCTTTCACTGCCTTTCATAACCAAGTTTAATGCTTATTTCATTAAACAATAACATCCTCTAAACAAGTGTTCCTGTATGTCAGAGCTCAGTTCAATAACTTAATAAACAAGTCAGAATTTTTCTATTAGCTAAAAACATGATCTCATAATAGTATTGCTTGAAGTAAGTAGGCTGTTGTCTGATAGTTGGAAACCATTGTTCTTAGGAAGGCCAGTGATGTCGTGAGATATCCTACAGTGCAAGGCCAGTTCCCTCAGCAGAGGGTTATTCAGTCCCAAATGTCAGCAGTACCTAGCCTGAGACAATTTGTTTTAGGATGATGCATTACATTTCAGTGAATTTGGTTGTCTTTTTCTGTGTAGGTATTAAAGAATCTGATACTGGCCTAGCCCCACCAGCACTCTGGGATTTGGCTGCAGATAAGCAAACGCTTCAGAGTGAACAGCCTTTACAGGTTGCAAGGTATATACAGTGTTCTGTGGAACTCTTGATGCCGCTGTCTGGCCTCAGCTTTTCTTTTTTGTGGAGGGGATATATAACTACATGTTTTAGAAGTCTTTCATTGTCTTTAATATAGATGTATCTGTTTATTTCTATTTTCTTCTTTAAAATTGACATAATCCATAGACATTAGGCTGTTTACAATTTGTTATTTCCTTATTTGTTAAAATCACCAGAAGGTATGTGTGTTTACCAGAGAGAGAGAGAGATAGGGAGGGAGGAAGTACCCCCGATGGGACATAGTAATGCTACAATCTTTTCTTCATTTCTCCAATCTCTTGTAATTTGGGGCACACACGCATATGTGCCTAGGTGTGTTTTTCAATCCACCAGGGACAGAATTTGAACCATGGTTGGCCATGTGGTTGACCAGCTCCCTAAAGTTTATTCATTTCTACCTTGAGTGAGAGAAACAGCACCCCAACATGGTCCTGAAATGGCAGTCCACCCCTAGCCCCAGCCAACTGCAAATCATGGGCAGTATGGGCCTTGAGTATTCAGGGGAGGTCTCTAGTACAAACCTGGTAACTTCCCACATGTAAGCCTCATAGATCATTGGGTTTTACTGATGCACCACTGTCCAGCCTCCAAATTTTTCTTTTTTCTTTTTCAGGCTTATTAGTTCACTTTGTCCATGAGAGAGACAGAGAACAGGCATTGCCCACAGGGTCCTCACACTGCAATCCAACTGCAGTACCTGGGTCACAGGTGCATGTGTGTATACCCACTGTAGCTGGAGAGGTTTCTGGGTGTGAACTTGGGACCTTTCCCATATGGGTTCAGTTGCAGTACAGCTACACCACCATCTGGCCCTCATCAGCTCTTTAGGCATTGTTTCCTTTAGTTTGAATATATTTGTGATACCGATTTAAAGTTTTTCTTTGGTAAGACTAACATCTGGGTTTGCTCAGGGACAAATATTATTGACTGATTTTTTTCCTTGTGTGGATCATAATTTCCTGTTTCTTCTCATGTCTCGTAAGTTTTTGGCAGAAATTGGACATTTTAAATAATGCAGTCTGTCAACTCTGGCAAACAGATATTTCCTCTCTTCCCAAGTTTGTTATTGTTGCTTTTGCTGTTGTTCCTTTTAAGTTTTTTTGGTCAACCTCTTATTAGCCCAACAGATACTATATAATTGCAGCTGATTGTTTTCAACAAATACTAGTAGGACTGTTCATACAGAGTGAGCTCTGAGTCAGGTTGCATAAAGGCAAACCCTGAGAATGAAGTTTTTCAATGAGTTGCCAGACAGGTCAAATGGTAATAGTTCTGTGGGAATTGGGCTTTTGAGGAACCCCAGACCTGTACTTCCCCCTCTAACAGCTGCTTGGCTGCTGGTTTTAAAAGAGCCTACTGGCTTTAAAATCTTCTGTATAGCTGGGAAGAGGAGGATAGGATTAGAGTGAGTTAAAATGCAGCACTCATTGTTCTTACTGAGATTCAGCCACTTTTCTTTTTTTTTTTTTTAACCTTTTTTTCCCTCTATTTATGATAGTGTATGTTTGTGTACATGTGAAGGCATGGGAACAGATCCTGTGTACAGACCACAGGATCTGCTCATGCAGTATTCCTTTAGCCCATCCAATCCTAGGTACTGGAGAATGGACCTGGTTCAGGCCGACTGAGCAGGGTGTTCAAACCAGTTACCGTATAGGATCCCATATCCCATGATCAGAGCATGACTGCTGTGCCATGGAGCTAGCCCCTGGACCATTTTTCTTGAATAAATACCCCTCAGGTTGTTGCAAGCTTTTAGTTTATTTCCAGTGTTCTGAAAATGTTGATTTTGACTATTTTTGCCAGTGTTCTTGTTGCTTTAAAGGAGGAACAGATTTTCAAAGGTTCTTATTTCACCCTTCTGGAAGTCAGTGTCTCTGTATATATTCAATACTTTTAAAACTGTGGGCTAAAAAATCCCTGTCCATATAGTAGTACAAGGTCTTTCAAAGAGGTGGTAAATTTTTTTGTATTTATCAGTAGTAAACTTGGCTAGTAAAAATGAGGTCTTGGGACCAGCACATGGCATGATGGTTACATTGCTGGACTCCCACATGGTTGACCACAATTTGAGTCCTGGACCCAGCAGCTTAAAACTCATGCCAGGCAGATGTGTTTGCATGGCCAAAATCCCTAGAGGAGAGTGGAGGAGAAGGGATTGCAGTGGACTATCCCCATGGGGGATAATGTTTTGCTTTCTATTTCTCTGTCTCTCTTTCTCTGGCAAGCACACACATACATGCAGCTTATAGCAAAAATTTCTCTAGAGTCCTATGATACAATTACAATGTAAGGACAAAACTTTTTTTTTTTTTTTTTAGTTTTTTCTATAGGGCATATTCACTTACCAGAGAAAGAAAATAAAAAAGCACCTCCCGGGGCATTAGCTGCTCTACAGTCCCTTCTCCATTTTTGTCTTGGGATTTTAGGCAGGCATGCACATATGCTCAGTCTGTTTTTCATGGGTCCACTCGAACCATGCAGTCAGCCAAGTGGGATCTAGCTGCCTTCATCACCAGGCCACCAGCTGGCCCCAGGATAAAACAGTCTGAAACCTACTTTTAGTTCTACTTATGTGCATGTTTCCGAGGCTTTTTTTCCCCTTCCCCACACATTTTTCATATCTTGTCTATTTAGAATGGAAAAGGAGGAAGGATAAAAGCAATATAGAAATAATTAAATATATATTAACAGTTTATCAGAATGATGGAATACTCTGCAGATAGTGGAAAAATATTTTGTGAACTGAATCAATACCTTGATTATTTATTTGTTTTTGTTCAATTCTTATGCTGTTTTGTATTTGTTTTCCTGTTGCCATATCTCATGTAGCAGCTTTCTAACCTGAATTTTTTGTTTTTTGTTTTTCTTCAGTAGACAGATAATATAGAATAGAAAAGGTTACTGTTCTATACTATTAATACATGTACCTTATGTTATAAATTTGCCTTCACCATGTTACACAGAAAATGAATATGTTTAACTTACAAATAGCAACAACAATAAAATAGGTTTGATGTATAAACTCAAGAGGGAATGAAAACTTTTATTACTGAAGTGAAGTAAGACCAGAAGCGGATAATCCAATTACAGGGAAAACAGTGTGGAAAGCAACTTAAGATCTTAATCACTAACAGTAAAGGAATATAATTACAAAAATCAAGAAACTACAGAACTTTTTAATGATGTAATATTTGGATTTCATTTTTCAGGGGAATATGTCTTGAAAATTTTATGGCTTGGCCACTGTTGACTGGACCTTTAGGGTTAAGCTTAAAAAGGGATCTTTCAGTGGCCCAGTTTCTGCAGTTCTAGTTTACACCTGCTTGTTAGTACACGGCCTGCCGGGGAGAGACTCTAGTTACTTGAATTCATTATTAGTGGTTTAGTTTCCTTCTAATCAAGCCTTTTGCTGTGTTAGATGTACGAAGATAATCAATGCTGATTCAGAGGACCCAAAATACATTATCAATGTGAAGCAGTTTGCCAAGTTTGTGGTGGACCTCAGTGATCAGGTGGCACCTACTGACATTGAAGAAGGGATGAGAGTTGGGTAAGATTTCTATTTACAGTACTCTTCTTTCATTAAAGATACCATGTCACAGTCACATCCTTGACTTTGTTGTGAATAAGTGAACTGAGACCCTCCTTTCTTTTGCATCTGCTTTCTAAGTTCTCCTCTCTTCCCTATTCCCACTATTGTATTTTACGAATGGCTTCTAATGTCATAATCAAAGTAAGTGCAGAATTTCAGAGTTGGATTTGCCAGTCCATTGGAGGTTATGTGGTATAGTGTAGAAAGTACTTGCTTTAGTATAGTTACGAGGATTAAGTTAACGTCTGTAGAATACATAATAATTCATTTAGTACATTTTAAGAAAATGATTATTTAATTTTGTTTATTCATTCATTTATTTTAATTTGACTAGACACACACACACACACACACACACACATACATACATACACACAACAGAGGTAGAAAGCAATCCACCAGGTCCGGGACTTGAACTGTGGTTGGCTATATGGGAATATCGAGTGTCCAATGCCTTAAAAACCATGCCACCTGCTAGTCCCCCACTTGGTACATTTTTTAAATCTTCCCTTACACCTTGAGTCAGGGATTCATTGCTGTTATGTGGGTCGTTTACCACTTTAGGCTGATGAGTTAGTGTCTTGAGTTTTAATGTTGTCATTATTTTTCTTTGTATAACTTTGAAGACTCTGTGTTTCTCTCTTGCATATATAAAGTAGAGTTTTAAGGACAAAAGACTAAACATAAGAGCATTTAGAAAGCTTAACGAATGTGTTAATGATATCTTTTTTACTTCCTTAGTGTGGACAGAAATAAATATCAAATTCACATTCCACTGCCTCCTAAGATTGACCCAACAGTTACCATGATGCAGGTGAGAAATTGGTAGGGAAAAGGAATAGTACGGCTTTTAGTGCAATTACATCCTTCTCAAAAAAGTTCAGAGTTTGTACTAATAGCTCAGTATGTGGGTGCTTATCATAGAATTGCCAAGTTTTTAAGGCAACCTGCCAGATGAGAAAGTCTGTCTTTATTTTATTAGTTTGTCTCTCTCTTATTAGTGTCATAACGTAATACAGCAAGACAACGTACTCCATTTTTACTAAGGTTTTTATATTATATATCTGATTTTTTATTAATATATTGGGCCTATTCTGTTGGATTTGGGCTACTATTCAAAAAAGCCGTAACTATATTTTATGTATTTTTATCTCTCTCTTAGGTGGAGGAAAAACCTGACGTCACATACAGTGATGTCGGTGGCTGTAAGGAGCAGATTGAGAAATTACGAGAAGTAGTTGAAACTCCACTACTTCATGTAAGTAGTTCAGTGTTGCTTAAATTCTTTTTTGATGCTATAACAGTCTTTCATTTATCTAGTACTAAAATTGCTTATGTATTAGATAGATTTAAATTCAATATTTTCATTAAGAAAAATGGGGGGGGTGGTGGAAGTGGAGGTATGGAGAGTTGTGACGTCACATACAGTGATGTCGGTGGCTGTAAGGAGCAGATTGAGAAATTACGAGAAGTAGTTGAAACTCCACTACTTCATGTAAGTAGTTCAGTGTTGCTTAAATTCTTTTTTGATGCTATAACAGTCTTTCATTTATCTAGTACTAAAATTGCTTATGTATTAGATAGATTTAAATTCAATATTTTCATTAAGAAAAATGTTTGGGGTGGTGGAAGTGGAGGTATGGAGAGTTGATAAGTTTCAGAAGAGGATAAGTAAAAAAAATGGAATGGTCAAGTTTTTTTTTGTTTGTTTGTTTGTTTTTTTAAAGATCATCTGTTTAAGGTGACAAAGGAGGTTGAGATGTAAAACTTTTAGCAACTTGTTAAATAGGTTATGTTATTATAGAAGAAAGAAGGTATTCTAGTAATACCAAAAGGAAATTGACTCAAATTGAACCAAGTTAAACTTGAGAGGGTAATGGAAAACTAGGGTATTGAATATTATGTAATAATTTTCTTTAAACACTGTAATTTTTCAAAATTAGGAAAGCACTTTATTTTAAATTTTATTTATTTACTTATTTATTTTTGAGAGAGTGATTTTTGCCATAGAGCACATGCACATGCACTCACCAGAGAGACAGCGTGAAATCACTCCTCAGGGGGGATGGCCACACTGCAATCCCTTCTCTACTCTTCTCTTGGGGTTCTGGGCACATATGCATACACGCCCAGCCTGTGTTTCAAATTGCCGAGTCCAGCTGGCTGGCCATGTGGGAATCCAGTGACGCATCCACTATGCCATCTGCTGGTCCCTTATTATTTTCTTAGAGAGGTTTTTGCTTTAAGGGCAATGTGCATTTGCCAGAGAGACAGAGATAGAAAGCGAGAAATCACCCCACCGTGGGCGATACCATGAAGCAATCCCCTCTCCATTCTCTTCCCAGGATTTTAGGCATGCACTCATATAGATCTAGTGTGAGTTTTAAGCCACCTGGTCCTGGTGGGACTCAAACTGTGGGTTGACTATGTGGGAGTTCAGTGATGTAATTCTTATGCGATCTGCTGGTCCCAGGAAAACATTTTATTGATATTAGATAGTAGAAGCACCTTTGAAAGCTACTGAGCCAAATAATTAAATTTATTTAATTTTGCCAAAGGGCATGTGTGCCCACAGGGTAGGTGGGCAGTGAGAAAGAGAGAGAAAGCAACTCTGTAGCATGGTCACACCGCAATCCCTTCTCCTCCATTTGTCCCTCCTTTTGGGATTTTGGATATGCATGGACACATGCCTGGCATGTTCCTCAAGCTTCTGAGTCTAGGACTCAGACCACACAGTGAGCTATGTAGGATCAGGCCACCTTAACCCCAAAACTATGGGCTGGCCTAGAGCCTTACATATTGATAGGAGTCTAGTGTAGATCTTAATGTCTTAGAATAAGTAAAATTTCTAATTTAGATCAAGTATATGGATTGAAGACCTAATACTTGTGGTTTAATGTTTTAGTGTAAGTGTAGTCTTGTTTTATTATACAGAAGTGATAAATGTAAAACCATATCTCTGTCACAGCCAGAGAGATTTGTGAACCTTGGCATTGAGCCTCCCAAGGGTGTGCTGCTCTTTGGTCCACCGGGTACGGGAAAGACACTCTGTGCTCGGGCAGTTGCTAATAGGACTGACGCGTGCTTCATTCGAGTTATCGGATCCGAACTTGTACAGAAATACGTCGGTGAGGTAAAGTATATTTATCAAAATAAATGTTGTAAAGTATGAAATTAAAATGACAGTTCCACAATGAGGGTTTGAAACCTGAAATTTAGAAACCAGAAGACATCAGCATTTCCTTTTGGTCATTTGGAAATAGGAAGCAACTTAAAATTTTAGTCAATATATTCCCTACTCAAAAGGATGATACTTTCTTTATTTTATTTTTATTTACATTTTTTTAATACATTCAATCACATTATTTAGCTTACAAGGTGATCATTTCAATATATGAACATTTTTCCCCGGTCTAGTTGATCAAAATATAACAACACTACCTCCCTGTCTCAACAATGCTGTCTTCATATCCCTCCTCCAAATGTTTTTCCCCAGGCCCCACTCCTCCACACATACCACATCTGGCATTCACATCCATCTCTTGTGTTTGTACATCCTATAGCCCTTCTGTTTCAGTTATAAAGTGTGGACCTTTGGTATATATTAAGTGGGGATATACAGTGTTTCTCCTTCATAGACAGGCTTGCTTCACTCAGCAGTAAATCTTCCATATTCTTCCACTTTCTGTCAAAAGCCAGGATTTTGTTGTTCTTAATGGCTGAATAGTATTTCATAGAGTATATATGCCACAGTTTTTCAATCCATTCAACCGTACTGGGGCATTTGGGTTGGTTCCATGACTTAGCAATCGTGAAAAGTGCCGCAACGAACACCGATGTGCAAGCACTTTTCCAATGAGGAATTCTTTTGTCCTTTGGGTGGATGCCAAGAAATGGGATTGTTGGATCATATGGCAGTTCTATTTGTAGATTTTTGAGGAATCTCCACATTGTTCTCCACAGTGGTTGGACTAATTTACATTCCCACCAGCAGTGTAAGAGAGTTCCCCTTTCACCACACCCCCGCCAACACTTACCATTTTTTGTTTTTTTAATCTTAGTCATTCTGACTGGGGTTCAAAAGGATGATACTTTCTACAGGTCTGGTTTGTGAGATAAATACCTCAGAAATAATTAATTAATGATTAATAGACAATAGTGTGTCTGTGGGGGATATATTCCAAGACCCTCTGTGGATGTCTCAAACCAGGAATAGTATCAAACCTTATACTTGCTGTTTCCTATACATTTGGTGGGCAGTGTATACAGCATAGATACACTGGATAAAGGATGATTCATATACCTAGGTTGGGTCAAACTTACATGTCGGGCTTTTTCCTGAAAATTTTCATTTAATATTTTCAGGTCATGGTTGACCAACTATAGGTAACTGAAACCCCAGAAAGTGAAACTGTGGGTAAGCAGGGACTATTGTACTTAAGCTTAATGAATTAAGATACAGTAATATTTTCATTCCCTGATCAAACTTACAAATCAAATTCAGTGATCAAGAATTTCAAATGATAGACCAGATGCTTTATTTCCTTGTATTTCACTGATTAGAATGGTGCCTTTATTAAGTGTTTATTTGACCTTCAGGTCTTGAAGTTACTACTATTTAATAGTTAACAGAATCATGAAAATGACTTAATATTGCTTTTAGGTGAATAAGATTTGATAGAATTAGTACCAAATTTCAGGGTTTTTTTGTTCTTTTTAAAGCTTTTGGTAGTAATGGTTGAGGATACTGTTAGGAATGTTGAAAAGTTTGAAGCATAACTCAACCTTTTTTTTAAGTGAAGGTGAAACAACAAGTTTAGGAGAGAGTAAAAGGAGAGGAATTTTTGACAGGGTCTTGCCACTTTGTGGGCCTTCCTGCCTGGCTTCTCGGATGGGATCACAGGCATGCGCTGCAGTACTTGTCCTGTTTATGTTTTGCCAGGAACCAAACTTGGCCTCCTGTGTAGCCCCAGCTGTTGCTCAGTGGTACCTTCTGGCTTGTATCACCATACTGGACCCTTGTTTTGTATTTAAAAGATTTTAAAACCAATTCTCAATTAACAAATCATTTTTCTCATTAGGGAGCACGAATGGTCCGTGAACTCTTTGAAATGGCCAGAACAAAAAAAGCCTGCCTTATCTTCTTTGATGAAATTGATGCTATTGGAGGTAAGAATGATGTTTTAGAGAACTTCTTTAGGATTGAGTTTCATAACACCTCTAAAGTGATATATGTTAGTATTCTCTTGACATATTAATTTTGTAGAAAATTTTAATTCCACCTCTTATGAGTGCTAGCATATTGGACCCACAGATCTAATAAACTGCTGGACTAAACCATAAAAGAAAAAAGAAACATACAGTATTACTAGTTTCCAAAGCCTTTATTTCTGTACTATCTAATTGTATTTATACAACATATATTTCCACACTTTAACATCTGTTAGGTTGCACTGGGGCATAATTTAATTGGTAGATTTTCTTCGTGTACATAGAATGTTATTGTTGGCATCATAGATTTGAAGAAAGGTATTGTTGCCATGCAGTCTAGACAAGTTATTTTAACTAAATTCTGAGCCCTAGTTCACTCATCTTATAAATGGAATGATTATTTTTGCCTTATGAGGTTGTTGGAAGAGTCATGACAAATTTTTCTGTGCAAAAATGCATCATGACTTTTCTGATAACCCAGTATTTTTCAGAGGTTTCTTTAGAGGTTCAAGTAAAGTAATAAATGTAATAGACTTTGAAAACACTAAACTGCTGTGTAGGTATTGGCTAGTTTTCTAGTGTATAAAAGTAATAGTCTCGGGGCTGGGAGGGGGGCTGGGGGGTTAGGGGGCTGGGGTTTCAGGTGGTTAAGGGTGCTGGGCTTTCACATGGCCGACCACGGTTTGAGTCTCAGACCTGGTGGCTTTCTTCATCACTCCCCCCGCCCCCCACATCCAGGTAAAATTTAAATAAATAAGTAGATAGATAAATAGATAGATAAAGTTAAATAAAATAGTTTAAAAAAAGTAATAGTCTCTGATAGCTGGAGAAGTGTCATCTATCTAAGCAGTCAGTTGTTAATTTAATTAACTTAATGAATAAAAATGACAAAAATGTAGTGGACCCTGTAATACTGTTTGGGTACTGTGGTTTGGTTGCCTAGAATCTTGCTTTTAGACTAGATGGGTGTTGTTGGATTTTGACATTGTGTAGTTAATGTTTTCAAGGGCCATAATTTGACCATAATGTAAGGATGCAGTGCTGAGACTCTGAAGCCATTTTAGACTATCAGCAGAATAAGCCTTATGATAGGGTGCTCAGAAGCAGTGGTTTCCAAAGTAGATTGTACATAAGACAGTCTTTTAGGCTACACAGGAAGAGAACACTATTGGGTTGTTAGAGAAGTTGTGTCATGTTTTTCTATGCAAAAATGTATCATGACTTTTCCAATGATTCAGTTGAATTTGTTTTTGTGTTTTTAACATTTTAAAATTTTCTATCTTTTATGTGTTTTTAAATTTTCTACCATAGTTATATATACTGTAAAATAGTATACGTTTATATCATTTAAAAATAAAAAAATAGGGGCTTTTTTTTCTGTGTGCTATCCTGATTGAAATGAGAAACTGACATGAATCTGAGGTACTTTAGTATATCCATATCAGCTTGACAGTAAGTTGTTACCATTCTGCCTTACATATTTTGCAGTATTTTAAACGACAGTTTTGGGAAGTGTAGAATAACATGATAGTTTCCTACATATAACCAATCACTGTTAGAGTGCTGAAGTTTGCATGTTATTCTGTAGCCTCAGCTAGATGTATATTTTGTTAAACAGAAGTGTTCTTGAAAAATTTCTCAACGATTTTAAACAATATTTTAAAGAAGACCATGTTAAATCGATGGTGAATCCTTTTGGAAGTGAAGATTCACTTTCTAATTATGTGCACTTGTGCTGGTAGTCATGATTTAAGCTGAGATTTATAGTATGTTCAAGTTACACATAGTGCTACTCTCAGTGGACACAAAGGACTTATCTTTGCTGTTGTCTTCTCAGGGGCTCGCTTTGATGATGGTGCTGGAGGGGACAATGAAGTGCAGAGAACAATGTTGGAACTGATCAATCAGTTGGATGGTTTTGATCCTCGAGGCAATATTAAAGTGCTGATGGCCACTAACAGACCTGATACTTTGGATCCAGCATTGATGAGGCCAGGGAGATTGGATAGAAAGATTGAATTTAGCTTGCCTGATCTAGAAGTAAGAAAAACATTTTATTTTAGAAAACGAGTTCTTGAAATGTTTCTGTCTGTGATGTTTTTCCATTGTAATATTTGTCAATTCCCTCACTTGCAGGGTCGGACTCACATCTTTAAGATTCATGCTCGTTCAATGAGTGTTGAAAGAGATATCAGATTTGAATTGTTAGCACGACTGTGTCCAAATAGCACTGGTAAGTAGAAAAATCTTGCTTGTATTTGCTAACCTATCTATAGAGGTGACTTTTAAAAAATATATTTATTTAAATTTATCTATCATTATTACTATTATTCGGAGAGACAAGAGAGACAGTGAGTGAGAAAGCAATCCGCCAGGTCTGGGACTTGACCACAGTCAGCCATGTGGGAGTCCACTTCCTTAACCACTGTGCCGCCTGCTAGCCCTGTAGGCTGTTTTATTAAGCCTGTTTTCTTTCTGTTTAAAAGGTGCTGAGATACGAAGCGTCTGCACAGAAGCTGGTATGTTTGCAATTAGAGCACGGCGAAAAATTGCTACTGAGAAGGACTTCTTGGAAGCTGTAAATAAGGTCATTAAGTCTTATGCCAAATTCAGTGCCACGCCTCGCTATATGACATACAACTGAGTCCAGAAGGCTTTGAAATGAAAGTACTTCTTTTGGAATCCTAACCTTATCTTGACTTGTTAATAACCACTTTAGACATAAAATAAATAGCTTCAAATTGTATGTTTTCCAGATCTCTTTACTCTGTAGTATAGATAAAGATGATATCTAATGTTATTAGACAGAAAAGCTTGTTTGAGTGTTTAACTGTTTTTTGATTCACTACCATTTAGGGATTGTGTAGCATATAAAGTACATGCTTACACTATGAATGTTTTAGGGATGTGCTAGCTGGGTGCTATGCGTGTATTATCTCATTGTATCCGCCTAGCCACCCAGTGAGGGGGATCAATGGATCTTGATCCAATGGATGCTAAAACTTTCCACCTAATTTACTTGTAGTGGCAGAACTGGGTTTCAGGTTGAAGTTCTATATTTCCATTATCTATAGCCCTATTGTGCTCTTCTCATCAGAAGCACATCTAGGTATAAGACCATATGCATTACAATAGTTTTTCCTGCCATGATGTTGAATAACAAAGCTTTGGCTGCACCCTTGTTTAAGTAGAAGTGGAAGAAATATTTGATGTAATAAGTTTTGCTATGCTTTTTTAACTGATTTCAAATCAGTCAAGACAAATTGGAGATTTTAGTGAATGGTGAAATGATGCAGGTAAAGCAGAAAAAAATTAATTTAGAGGATCCAGAATTGGCTTCATACAGAGAAGTAATTATTTTCATTTTATAAATTAGTGGTTTAAAATTTTGGTAATACTCCTATTAGACTTATGTTTTACAGTAAGATATTTTTAAAATAAAGTTTGTTTTAGAATCCTCATCATCGCTATCCAAGTGGTTTCTTGTGCAGTTCCCACCAGATCCTCTTTTCTGCTACAATTATCTCCTCTTTCCTAACACTGAGACCAAAGCATAATACTTTTTATCAAAGTTTGATATTCATAAATAATAAGTTGCAAAATAGAGCTGTATAAATTTTTAATTCACAAAAGAAAAAGTTGACAACGTAGAAAATGCTGTAAGTGCTTCATTGAAATTCTTAAATTTATGTTTTTAAATAGAAAAATTAAGGCCCTTCATTCATAAAGTCCAGCCAACATTCTTTTTTGATTTTTCATTTTTGTGAACTTGATTGGAAAAATTTATCCTTTTTTTCTAATCCTGCCATAGTCTTTCTTTAGGTATGAGCTAGAACAAGCCATTTCAAGATTATGCTTACAGTAAAATACACTCAAATAAATGAAAACATATGTGTTTTAACATTTTGATGAAATAAATTTAAGCGTTAACAAAAGTCTGTCCACTTGTTTTCATATAGCCACATACATACGCCAATGCAACACAACTCAGATTGGATACGTTGAGCTCACACAGGCCTAACATGATACAGACTCTAATTGATGACATTTCAGTCAGCTACATAATGAAAATCTAGTAGGCCACAAGTCAAATATACAATTAATTGACAAAATTGTGTTTTTTCCTAGACATATGTATGCAGATCGCCAGATAGCATCAACACTATCTGGATTAGCATGTTTGCACTCTATTTAAAAAGACAAAATACATATTTACTGGTAATTCCCTCCACCTAAAATTTGTGTATGTGTGTGTGTGCATATACATTGTGTAGATACACATACATATTCATATATCATGGTGTTAAAAATCAATACAATGGATTTATGACTTTAGGAAAATAGAGTCCTTTAGAAACTATATCTTAAAATGTAAAATGGTTAGATTTCTAAAAATTTCATTCCATGGAGCTTCTCTGTATCATCTATTAAATAAAGTGAAATGCTGTATACCAGTACATTGGAAAGCCTGTTAAGCCTTTCTCAAAGACAATATGAATTTTTTTTTTTTTTGGAGAGATTTTCACGATAGGGCACGTGCGCTCGCCAGACAGAGAGACATAGAGACAAAAAGCGAGAAATCACCCCCCCAGGGGGGATGGTCACGCCGCAATCCCTTCTCCATTCTCCTCTCGGGATCTTGGGCACGCACGCACACACGCCTGGCATGAGTTTTAAGCCACCGGGTCCGGGACGCGAACCACAGTCGACTATGTGGGAGTCCAGCGACATAGCCATTATGCTAACTGCTGGTTCCCAAAGACAATATGAATTTTGAAAATACTCAAGCTTGATTAAGACAGGAAGCAAGGGACCAGCAACTGGCATAATGGCTATGTCGCTGGACTCCCATGTAGTTGATTATGGTTTGAGTCCCAGACCTGGTGGCTTAAAACTCATGCTGGGTACGTGTGTGTGTGTGTGTGTGTGTGTGTGTCCAAAATCCTGAGAGGAGAATGAAGAAGGGATTGCAGTGTGGTCATCCTTGGGGGAATGATTTCTCACTTTCTGTCTCTCTGGCAAGCGCACATACACTATAGCCAAAAATCTCTCAAAAAAAAAAAAAAAAAAGCTAGCTTTTGACTACTTTGTTGATAGGATCTGAGGGGTTTTGAAACAATTGCATTCATTTTGGTTTGTTACATGTTTGGAAAATTACATCACATAACAGGTCTCAAACTTCTGTCAGCACTCAAAACATGTCAAGAATCTAAACATACTGAGTCCTTCAAAAGGACCAGCAGCCGTTTTACACTCACTAAAACATACAGGCACACACCAAGGAAGTTTTTACTTTAGAATTTAAGTTGATTTACTATTTTTATTTTTCTTTAAATAAATACTTTATTTAATTTCACCAGACAGGGACAGAGTGAGAGAGAGAAAGCAAGCCACCAGGCCCGGGACTTGAACCACCGTGAGCTATGTGGGAGTCCGGCATCCCTAACCACCAAGCCACCTGCCTGATTTACTATTTTTAAAGGGGTAGACATAATAGATAAAGCCACATACTCTTCCCTCCTTTTCTCTCCCTCTCCACACAAGGTCACACCTCCCCCTCCCACCCCAACACAGAAAAACACACCCATTCTATGGCAGGTTCTCTGGGTTTGCTACCCTTTTTTCCCTTAATGTACATTAGAGGGGAGACTCATTTTCTCACAATGTATACTCAGGCAGGCACCTCCTTTCCAGAACAGGGAAGAATACAGAAACCATACAGAGTGGATTTTTAGGTGTTACTTGGGTTCCACTGCAGGTGAGATTGGCAATTGGGATCCCACTAATGGGTGCCACATGCTTACATACAATGTCTATGACATGAGTTTCCTGGGCCCTGGTTCACAAATATTTTCAAACATTCACTCATGAAGCAGAAATTAACTGCTTTATATTGAGAAAGACAAAAGACTGGGACTCTCCTAAAAACGGCTTCCCATGGTGCCGTAAAGGCTAGTGTAGTCCCTATATTCTATCAGTGTATATTATATCCATTTTGGTATGGCAGTATGAATTTTAATTTAAATTAGGGCTGAAAAACAGGCATACACTAGTAGCTTTTAAGGCCCAGGAAGAACAGGTAGGCTTATATATTGATCTCTTGAAAAGTAAAACAATGAAAAAAGGAAATTTTTCACTGTATGAAATAATACTAGGTAAAACATTTATATACAGAAGAAATGTCATTTTTTGAAATGCACTTTTACCTTCTCAAATGCTAAAACATATTTTTCACCCTCAGTAAGACTTAAGTGCTTTTTATGTACATGGTAGAATTCTATTCAAAACAGATTGAAAATGAAAGACCTGAAAAGGTAAATACAAATGTAAACTATAGACAAAAACTTTTTTGTACACTATTTCAGTATATCAGCCACTGGGAATCGAGTATCTACCGTGTGGGAGGCATTTGTTGAAGACTAATGCTAAGGAACATGCAATGAAGTATATTATAACATTGTTTAAAATCCTTTAATTATATTCCAATTTCTGAAGTGAAACGGGCTCTTTACAAAAGTTCAGGTATAAGCTGAAGTTCTACAACTACGTGCTCTTTCAGAAGGCAGTCTATCAGAAAGCAGATGTATCTGATCTTGTGTGTTATGGTTGCAAAGGAAATAACTGGATGCAAATCTAATTTCACTGTAGCTCCAAAGTATGTATAAGAGAGAGATTGACTTTGAATTAAACTAGTAAAGTCATTGAGAAACCTGACAGTTCACCAACCAGGCGGCTTGGATGCAAACAAGCCATGCTAACATGATTCTGCTGGGATCTGACCGTGTTTCTCCTGGCAGTGTACTCATGGAAATCAAAACCTACAGTCATAAGAAAATATCTGGAAGTGGGTGGAAGGGAGGGAATTAAGGGGGAAAAAAGTGGAACACAAAAGTGGAAAATCATTTGCTGGTAATCACATATATGATAATATCTTTGGATTAATATGCAGTGTATTCATGCTGGGAAAAACCATTCTGTATGCTGTAAAGATCTACAGTGTTTGAATGTAAAAGAACTAGGAAAGAAGAGAGAAAATTAAAATTCCTGTGAATAGGAACTCTAGGCAGGTTGGCTAATGTCTGTGCTTTGATTTACAGTGAACAGGTAGATAATAGGAATAACAGAGCAAGAACTTTTGATGATAGATTGGCTTAAAGTTTTTTTTTTTTTTTGGAGAGGGTTTTTTTTTTTTTTTTTTTTTTT